CGTATGTGGGACAACTGTCACGATTGGTAACATCGGTGATAGGTCAACGAACAAAGACCGAGTAATCACAGACACGTAAAAAGATTACTCACGTGCAATTCTAAACATAACCAAGTATCGACGAATAAATGATGAAGAATTCCCAATTAGTAACATTGGTAACAGATCAGAAAACACAGACGTTACTAATTGGGAACTCTCATAGTTACTAATTTAATCCACCATAGGTGACGGCCAATGCGCGTGCATTAGAAAACAAGAATGAGATAGAAGATATAGCTGGATTATTCAAAAAAAAATCCTAGACCTTACTTCACGAAACTTTGATCAATTAGATGGTCACTTCTGAAAATAGAAAGGTTTCAGCTTTACAATATTACGATAACTACAACTCAACAGGCCGAACTGGTAAATTCAGAAGATGGTAAACAACCGTAACAGAAGCGAATTTGGTGGCGCTGCTTGCTCGGATGATACCAATGTATTCTAACTGTCCAACGCATGCAAAGAAAATTGCTTCCATCCGCTTTCTGTCCATAACGATACCCTAAAGTGACCGAAGGCTGTGTGGTGATTCTTTATAAATTTTACCGCATTCACGGTACAATCGAGCAAGGAGGAGAGCCCATGAAGATGTCTCGGACTCTGAGCATTGTCTCAATTCCCGCTTCAGTTAATACCGTGAATAAATTGAAGTAACAAAGAGACGGATGTGATACCGGAACAGAAGTTATGTAAACGAAACATTCATACTAGCGCGTGAACGTTAACGTTTCCACTTTTATCTTTTGTCCACAACTCAGGCAAAAAGAGAGTTATAGCGTTTCATCACATGAAATTCAGCCATTGAATGTTGTTCAGATGAAAACGGAAATTTTGATTTTCTGACGCATGAATTCAGACTGTGCTGAAGTTTGTATCTTATCAATAGAAAACGCTTAGGTTACAACATAAACAGTTAGATTTTTTAAAGACTGACTTTGGATTGTTTTGCACAAATGCAAGTAAATTGTTGTTGAAGTTTATAACTTTACCTGGTTGATCATCTCAACGACGAATGATTTGGCCCATTCAGCAAGAGGTACAATTTTCCATCGTTCCTGTCCAATCAAAGTATGAACAGCAATGTTTAATGCATTCCTTCCGTCCTTAATTTCATCTGGGTAATATATGGATCAGTGGTACAGTGATACATTTTGCAAATTGCGATATTGAGATCAAATGCTTCCACAAGATCATTTAATTTCTTGGGTGTCTAAATGATCACGCCAAAATTGCAATTTTCTCAAAAGTATATCCCCGCACTACCGTCGGTGCAATGATTTCATCGACATCGTGAGTGGTGATTAGTAACAAGTACAGTTTCTATCTAAAACATCGAGTGGAGCCGCATAGCAACGCTGATGCGGGCGCTGAGGCATCAACCTAACACGAGAGACAATGGCCTGCTTCTACATGAATCAGCTCATTCAAAAACGCAATGGAGAGAAGTGAATGTAATAAGTGAAATTTGGAGGGTACCGGACAGGTCAGCAGAGAATGTTCCAAATCGGAGATCGTATTCGGGGAAAGTAAAACCGCAGTCTTTTCTCCAAATAGAAATTTTTCCGAATGTGGGAACGACGTCAACGGTCGAAGTATGGAACGGAACATGTTCTGGAATGAAGAAGTTCTAGTATAGAATAGCATCAAGAGTGTATTTATAACCAGTTTTTTTCGTAATTGACATCAAAATAAAATCACTAAAAGTCGTTTGCTCCTCGATAAGATCACCAGAAACATTCTAATCCACTCTCGCTATTAGTTAATAGCGAGAAATTGTTATATAGCTCTATCGTTAAACGAGATTATCCTACCCATAGTGGACACGAACACGGACTCTTTCATCAAATTTTGAAGCATTGAATTAAAGAACCCATCCGATACTGGAACAAATAAGGAGCCGTAGCCAGTCTAGTCATTTCAGGGCTTCCAGAAAATCTCTCCCAAGTTGCCTTGGGTAAAAAGCCGAATTTGAAAACGATGCGGGAGGCTTGGAAAGGAAGCAAGAACAAGAAAAATCCGTACGTTCAATAAAGAAGAGCAGACTCTCACAACTCCTCGGGCGTCTGGCTCAGAGAAACGCTTAGAATGTTGTACTTCACTACGATGCATTCTTTTCCATTCTCAATACCTTACAAACACATGTCATTTGCTTTATATAAAATGTAGTTATTTAGATTCGGATGTTGCATTACGAAACATGGCTTGCTCTACAATTCATGAGTGTGAGATAGTTTCTACCGTATTTGTCGCAAAGGAGGTAGTGTGTTGCATAGCAAATCTTTGCGGTCAAACAAAAAGCCTAAACAGTAGATTCTTTGCGGATGTTATCTGCTTTAAAATTAGTGTATTCTATATCGTCTTTTCCCTCCAAATTTCTTCTAACATAGTTCTGTGAATTAAATTAATAAAAACCGCTTGCTCTCTCCCTTTCAAGCTACGATCTTTACCGGCAAGGCTACCTATTCCTTACCAGATATTGTTCGCCTTCTTCCACTCTTTGGCTCCCCTCACGGCAATATTGCTACACCACCATTCTAACTTACCAGAAAATAATTTTCTGCTTTAATTTGACTCACAAGAGTAAAACTATGCGGAAATGAAATAATTCCTTTACAACGTGATTGAGTTCAAATTCTCAATGACTGTAAACGTAATAATGAGATCGTAGATATTGCTCTGTTGTTTATGAAGTCATGACTAGATAGTAATTAAATGAAAGTGGAAGATGAAGTTCCAACGTAGATCACCCTCCTCCCCCCTCAAGTACTTCATAATCACTTTGGCGATGAAACCAGTGATTTGGATGATGCGTCTTAATCATTGTATGTAAAGGTGACATGTAATAGGTTTCCAGACAACTTTCTTCACCCACTTACCGTCTCAAATATCTTGTCTTGCTGTGTGTCTTGAGCCAAGCAAAAGTTGTAATGTTTCTAAACAATTAGTAGGATTCTTTTTTTCTTAATTCTCCAGTTTCCTTTCGCTTCAGGTGCCACGAATAGAAGAGTAAGCTGAGCCCCGAACTGGGCCGTTATCATTCATTTGAAGTGTTCCATTATAGCAACTTAACGGATTTTTGAGATGAATACCACTCTCCTCGTCTTAAGCATTTATGAAACTTAGTTGCTTCAGCTTAGAAATACATGCACGTGCTAATACTGTGGATTTAAGGGACATAGTGAAAAAAGCAAAGAGTGATTGAAAAATTTAAATGAACCCAAGGATGATTCAAAACAATTGCGCAAGAGATAAATATGAGTTTTTGGAGAGAAAATAAATACTTTCCATCAAATTTTATTGAGAATTCATCAACAGTGTTAAGAACCTAACAGTTTATAAGTTGATATCTCATAGAAACCTGCTTCAAATGAATAGTTAATAAACTCATGGCTCTCCTCATGCTCCTCCTAGTACCGGGTGGCGGACTTTATGAACGATAGCT